GTACTCGATAACCCGTAATTTGATTATTGCTTTCGTCGATATATTTTAGTATTAGCTCTTTTGAGAGCAATCCTGAAAGCCAACTATTGGGTAAAAACTGGCTTAATTCGGCATGTCTGAGATGGCTCTGTTACAAAATGCTAATTTTATGTCTACTAAGAATACTCGAGTCAACAGTATTTCATAGTCTGATAATTCCAACTTCTAGTAAATCCCACTCCACACCCTTAAAACTTGAGGAGTTCAGTCATTCTGAATTTTCTTTGGTTTGTACGTGCCGTTACATCAGAAGGTATGGTACGGCCTAACAACGGCCACAAAAAAACCACTTGACAATTTCACCCTCTTCGGCCGCTCTACTTGGACCGTCCAATTTTGGTTTTTCGCTCTTCTATTCTGTAACTGCTTTGACCAGTGCTGTTTTAGTTGGTGGCTTGACTGCTGGTGAGTCTAAGGTTTTTTTTCGCCTTTTGAAAGAAATATCAGTTTAACATATCTTCTACAAAAAAAAGAGCCTTAAAAATATCGCGATGTGCATGGTGTGTGTATTGTATTCTGTTTGTTGAGTGTGGCCACTTTGTTCGAAAGCTGCTGCTCTTAGACGATATGACATTTTTCAGACTAGAACTGAGTTAGTGGACCGGAACATTTCTTACCTATTACAAATATTTCCTCAGACCCTTTCCCCATTTTGCAACCCTTCTCCTTGTTTCCCTTGTTTTCATTTTTTTCTTGATATTTTCTCTGCAACCTTTAATTAAATCATACCCGAAATTACTAGCAAAAAGAGAAAAAACAAACCTTTTTCACCGTACCACTTGAGATCTGGCTCACTTAGGCAGTGGATTAATTTGAGAAGAGGATTTTCAAGTGATACCATGCATCTGGAGAAATATTCTTCCGACATGATATCCGACATTTGCTTGTTGAAAAGAAGTATTGTTGTTCTAAAATCTCCCATTTGATTCCGATTTTAAAGTAAATCAGTTTTTTAGACATAAATTCCTTTACAAGCAACGAAAAAGACATTTAATGACAAAAAAATTTCTTAATATTTTAAATTTCTTAACATTCAAATATGTATGATACTTAATATTTTAAACAACTATTCTTCATCATTCACAGCTTATCACCAATTCGTCTCTAGCATAGTACAGAAACGGAAGATAAAAGGCCTCAGTTGGTGGAGTTGTCGGCTACAGAGATATGATTCGAGTTATCATGTTACCCGCGGGGCAGGGGAAAGCTGAATTTAATTTTCTGGGTAGCACATGGGTGGGGGACATGCCCACGAAATTTCAGCCTTCTAGCTTCTGTGTTTTCCGACTGTTAGAAGGCCAGCACGTTACCTCAAAAGAAGTGGACTGACCAAAGAAATCAAAATGTGGAACGGCCGGAGTCAGAAAGTCAAAACGAAGGGTGGGATAAGATTGTTGGTAGGCCGAACCGTAATTTGTAAAGAAAGCGGGCGGTTCGAAGCATAAAAAATGCGGAACGACCACAGCCCGGAAATTTTAAATTAACAACTGCAGGTATTGTTTCGCTGTCCTGTTCCATTTTGCCTTCGATGTACCCTGCACCATCTCCATTCCTCTCTAATTTGCGCTTGCTGTTATCAGTTATCTCCACAGAGGTATTTCAAACAACTCCAGCCGCTTCTCCATGTCCTTTTAATGGTACCATTAAATAATCCTGCTTTGGCCTTTGTAATTTTAATTTTAGATGGTATGTGTTTATGTAAGAAGTAAGGGAATCAAACGGAATGTGAATAAGTTAAAATCTGAATTAAAATCTGAATAGGAACACAACTACCTTTGTCACACAACTAATCCAACTTTTTTCTCCTGGTATTAGGTCCTAGCGTGATCTTTGACTGCAGCAGCGGAAGACAGTGAAGAGTGTCAGTGCTTTATTTACTAGTAAAACCTTCAATTCAGTGAGATGGGCCAGGGCGTCGCACAAACTATCCAACGGAAGGAGAACGTTAGTCGTATCGAGGTGGCCAGTTTGGTGGCGCTAGTCTGTTATAGTAGAAGTGTTAGGAATTAGTGGGTGGAGGGAAGTTAGGTCACGTACACTGGCATTCACTCACTACCATCACAATATCATCTATCCCAAACTAAACCAGCAATATTTCATACAAAATTTGCTACAATCTGCTTATTTTCGCTATTTATCGTTTTATGTCTCATTAAGCCATCACAAACTTTTTTTTTCTCTTCATCAAGCTTAATAATTTACGCTAAATTTCCGCACAATAAAATTGACAAATCCGTGAATTTATGTTGCTTTTACACCTAATGTTAGTGATGAAAAAGACGTGTGTGGGCACAAATAACTTGTGCATTTTTATTGAAAAAAAAAACCAAAAAATAACCTTTTGTTATTTTTTAAGCGCACAGCAGTTATTCGAAGCATCGGTGCCAGACCGGTTCCAGCTGCCAACATCAACACTGCTTCAGCACAATCGGACCAAACATTAAAACAGCCTACTGGATCGCTAATTTCAACACAATCACCTAAAAAAATATGAATTGAAATCTCGAGAACCATCATAGTTATAATACAGAATTTAATCGCAACGATTTTTTTAAAAAACTCAAAATAAAAAGATGAAAAACGTAATTGTGACCCTAACACAAGAAATATACAAATTAATGGACTGAAAAAAATCATGATTTAGCTATATCTGAAGTATAATGTAATCTATTTTATCATGATTTAGCTATTGTTTTGATGTGTAAGATAATTTACATGGACAAATCATAAGTTCTCATTCGTTCCTTTTTCAGCGAATCAAGCTCAAAAATCCCACTCTGCCAAACGATATAAACAGACCACTGCACATAGACGCGGTACCCGGAAGCCCTCCCGAACCGAAAATCCGGCATCAAATCAAGTTATATTTAGCATGCAAATAAATCTGATTGTTCCACTCAACTGGTCAAACCAGTAAACACAAATGAAATAATGAAGCATAAAGCAAAATATAAGGCAAAATAGCAAAATTTAAAGAAAAAAAAGCAAAAAATAAAAAAATAAAGCAAAAATATTTGAGGCTAAAAATATGCAAATTTAAGTCTTATTCTTCTGATTATTAGAATATTAATGATCTAAACTACAACAAATTCAATGACCAGATGTTTAAAACTTCAGCTTTCAAAACTTTTTTGCGAAAAAAACTGAAACTGCATGAAAAACAAAAAAATCTACAAACTCACAATCGCACATACAAAACAAACAAACAACCTCGTCAGCATGCGAATTTCTGTGCTGTAAAAATACGAAGTACAGAATCGAAAAATCTTAACTTACCGCATTTTTTAACACGTAATCTCTTAGTCATAATGCCATCTTCATAAAATTTGATCAGAAATGAAATGAATCGTCCTTCGTTGGATAATAGGATCGGTGTATAGGGTCGTTCAATGTAACTACCTGCATAAAAGACAATCGACTAGTACAGTTCGGAAAAATCAATTTTCTAGTTGTGCACCCCCAACTCCTCCTGACGACCCAAAACTGCTAGCACTCTTTGCCTTTTCAGGTTGTGCCAATTACAGGTACTGGAATGTCGGCATGTGATGCGAACAAATCCGTGTAGAAATGCCTTGCTAATCCCCCACGTCCACAGGAAGATCCAGGCTCTAGGTGAGGCAAGGGAGGAGACGACGGGGCGACGAGGAGAAGTGGGGCTCCTGGGAGAGGTGATGGGGTAGGGGGAGGCCTCCTCTCACCCTGGAACTATGCGAAAACTAGGAAAAGGTACTTAAAGTTACTTTATTTTTATGAACAGACCCGGAATGTCTCCC